AGACAACAGGTCATGGAAACGGGGGATAACCTAGAAAACATAAGAATATAGATAATGCTAGTAAACTGTAATAATAAATTTGACGATTTATGGGGGCCACGTTGTAACCTTTGTAACTCTGAGTTGTTATTCAATTAACTGGAGCACTGCTCTACAAGCCACCATATTAAATCTCAAAAACTTTGGTGTCCTGCTTCGTACTTCAATCTTCCAGAAGAACAACGTTCACTCCTTCCAAATCTGTCCAACCTGAAGTTGGCATTGGGTCAACCATCAGACATTGTAAATGTCTACTTATGAGGGGAGTGAATAGGGTTTATGCAACAACTGGACCAAGTCAAAGTGACAATGTGTGGATGGAAACACAAAGGGGGGGTTGTACGTCTTCAGCAGTGAATCAGAAGGTGGGTATAGACCGATTACCTGGGCAAGCATCAGTTCACAGGGACAACATATACGATGGCGCCAGTAAAACGGGTCATTAGTTGGAGGTCACGGTCTTCAGTGTAAACATTATGGGTCTTCCGGGTTTCTTTGCTAAGCGTGTTTTTGAGTTGGTTCGTTGATTATGCTCTATTATTTCAGGAACACAGGAAGTAGGTATTGTACGCTTATAACTAGTCGCTTGTCTACAATTCACGGATATTATCCAGTAAACCAGTGGTTTTACAGGAAGCGTGAGCACATCACACAAGATAGGACCTTCCGAGGCCTATAAGAGGGGAATGAACTTGAAAGTTGTTCGAAGTTTCTGAGTTTTTGGAGGACGATAAGGCGGACGTTTCTTCGGAGCACTTGGAATGTCCAACTCTGAATTTCAAGCTTGAACGGCTGTTAAAGGCGATGATATGCTGAACCACTTATCATGTTCGACTGTGCCAATATTTAATTTCCTAACGCCAGTATCACTACATTGTTACCGTTTGTGATTGTTTCGTATAGGATCTGTAGCTCATAGTTGAATTATAGTCGGTTGTAATCGACATCGCGCTAGTATTGTTGTACCAGTGAACAAAATTCCTGTAATTGTTGAGTAAACAGATCACCGTGCATTGGTTGTTTACTAGTTCTGGCTTGGCATTCGAAGATAGTTAATTACACTGTACTTCATTCTCTGTCAAGAAATAGATATTCATACCACATATAAGGTTGATGATTAGGATCGGAGTGCGTGTTAGGTAACACGAATCCTATCCACCTTGAGATCGTTAGCTAAACTGAATGAAGTTAGTTTCAACACTGTCTTGACTTGGAAGAACGCTTATTCGTTTATGATATCGTTATTGCTTTTTTGGGAGGAGAGAGATGTCTGTGGTAAAATAATCCGAAATAATTTGAATTTCGGAGTTCTGGTTACTGAACTACGATAGTTCTCTCAAAATTGCAATCACAAAAAAGTGACAAGATAATGTCAAAGTTGATTCAAAGCCAATTAAATCTACCATCTTCCATCCATCGAAGTGGGATGTGGGAAACAATGGTTTAGTCTATAAGCCAGCTGTCGTCGCTGATTACCCGAAAGCAGATCTCGCTTGAAGAAGCTTATAAACGATTCATAAATTAAAAGAAGTTTGGTAGCGATTTTCAGTCCTCTTTATTGTGTACACTGAAGTCTTGTATTAGATACCGGTTTCATGTACATATGTATGGGACCGGGTTTACGAAGTCCATTAGGTAAAGCGGCTGCAAATAAACAACTGAATAAAGAAGTTTACTTTGAAAGGAGCCATAAAGTAGGATTAAATATATGCGTAGCGTATAAAATGGTGTATGATTTAGTGTAAAGAAGATAAATGTTGTACAAGTTGTGCATAAAAAGTGTTTCGACTTCTACATTTTCATCTTAATATTCATGTGAGAAAATCGCAAACTTACAGGTGGCCAATTGCATTTGATTATGTCATGTGCGATTTCGGTGTAAACTGTACTCGATTCTGGAGCATGAGTAGTTAACTATACAGCCAATCAGCTATAATTTACGTACAGCATGGTATATATTTATACGAGCCCTTGGTGTCCACACGAGATTCACACTATGAGAAATAATTGTATTAGCAATGATAATGAGAAAGACTAAGGGTTTCAAATATGGTTTGAAATAACAGAATAACAAGTTTTGTATGAACAAATTTGGTGAGTATATTCTAGCCATGTAATATTCATTTTTGACCTTTGTTTAGCATATGTGAAGGGCAGTACATTAGCATAAGTAACTCACAGACAATACCTGTTACTAATGTGGGTTTACTGGTTATGTAGGTAATTCATGGGGAGCTGTAGTTCGCTTTTACCTAATTTACACTGTCCAGTCCATGTGACTCCGTTCCACATGATAACAAACTGTCATACCAACACACGCGTCACGCACATAAGTCTAAAATAACGAAAATTCTAGTGAGATTGGGAAATACACAAATTAGAAAAATGTGGTACGTTCCTTATGATAAGTTGTTGGGGGACTTACACAAAAGTCTTTGAAACTGGTTATTTTTTATTGCTAGCCCAAACCTTTCGTCGATAAAAAATCAAAAATAATAACCGTCTACGTCTTTACTTTTGTTCAGTGCACGTAAATCCCTCTGGGCAAATGAGATGATTTGTGTAGCCAAGAATAATCTTTCAAAAAAAGTATGCCATGTACATGTGGATTATAATTGTGGACCTAAATTTAAAAGATGACCAACTAGATTAAATTCAGTGTAATCTTATCGGATCAGTGCTCATTTATATCTTTATAGCGATGTTTGTAATATGTTTTTGTTGCACTATCAGGGCATAGTTTTAGCATAACGTCCTGATTTATAAACACAAGACTTGCCGGTCCGAAGCCCGGATAAAGGAGGAGGGTTGGGCTTGGGGTTAGTGACCCAATCCCGTAGAAAACTAACTCGTTAAAAAACGCTAGCCAGAAAAGATTATTCAAGCTTTTTAAACTCTGCCCTGGGATTCAGAAGGTCTTCATTTAGAAGAGTTATGATGCCTCATGATGAAAGCCGAGTTCCTTCGGAGGTCACTGGGACGATGCCCCTTCTGACAACCAGAGCAACCATTTATTTAGGTACACGGAATAGTCAAGAAAGGAGGTACAAAAAGACAGCAATCAATACCAGCAGAACAAGAGCAGAAAAAGCCAAGGCACAAGCTGAATACACAGAAGTGAACAAGCGAGTGAAGAAGAGCAGCAGAACTGCCAAACGTAAATATGTTGAAGATTTAGCAATGACGGCGGAAAAGGCTGCAAGAGAAGGGAACATGAGACAACTGCATGACATAACAAAGAAACTCTCTGGAAATCACCGTAAGCCAGAACGAGCAGTGAGAAGCAAGGAAGGTAAGCTAATCACCAACATTGAAGAACAACGAAACAGGTGGGTAGAACACTTCAAAAGCTCTTGATTCGACTGAACCCACCCGACATCGAAGCAACACCAAGGTCAGTATTTTCAATACAAATGTCAAGACAGTTCTAATGTATGGGGCGGAAACTTGGAGAATCAAGAAATCCATCATCCAGAAGATACAAATATTTATTCACAGTTGTCTGCGCAAAATACTTCGGATCTGTTGGCCGGACACTATTAGCAATAACCTACTGTGGGAGAGAACAAACCAGATCCCAGCGGAGAACGAAATCAGGGAGAAGCACTGGAAGTGGATAGGACACATGCTGAGGAAAGTACCCGACTGCGCCACAAGACAAGCCCTCACATGGAATCCTCAAAGCCAAAGAAAAAGAGGAAAACCAAAGAACACATTACGTCGGGAAATGGAGGTAGGCATGAAAAAAATGAACAAGAATTGGATAGAACTAAAAAAAGGCTCAGTACAGAGTAGGTTGAAGAATACTGGTCAACAGCCTATGCTCCATTGGAAGTAACAGGAGTAAGTCAGTAATAAGAAATGTAATTTCTACACAAAATAAGATGGTAAATAAGTGCTTTAGTTATTATGTTTGAATCGTAATATGCGGTTCCTGGTTAACTCTTAATCCTTTCAGGTTTAAAGTTATAGTGTTGGTTATTATGTTGACCCCATATACTTTATTTTAGCTTCCGTCCAATCTATTCATTCTAGTTGGGTCATATTTTGACATCGTTAATTATTCGCTTAATCTTGACTTTTTATATAAACGTATGTGTGCGTACATTTCCTGTCCTATTCATCACATGTTTGTAACTTATTTCCGTGCGATAATGAATATTAGTTAACGCTTGACTGAATCGAGTTGGCTCACATGCCTTCTCCATCGCGCGACATTTCGCTTCGCTCTATTCCATTCGCTTCATATTCAAAATATACGTATCATTCATTACCCAGAAGTTCATTCTCGTTATTTGACTTACGTAATTCTCTTATTTACTCAACTCCGATTAAGTCGATAAAGATATACAAGAATGGTCAGGATATACATTTTGACATTCATACGATCAAATTGAAGTCCGATCACGGACCACTGAAAAGTTAACTGCATAGTACGGCCATCAGCTAGCAAAGGAATAATTGAATATTTAGACCATTTTAAACATTTATCAAAGGCTTTAGGGTTGAAACATTTGACACTCCAATCTTTAAAAATTCGGAACTCCCCTTACAATATTTTATACCAGCAACCACCTCACATTTCATTGAATGTAATCATGAACATACTTTGCTTGTCAGCAGTTCACTGAGAACCCATATAATCCACCTTCTAAACCAGCGTAGTGAGATCTGTCTAATTACCCGTTGCCTTATAACTCAATCCAAATACCCTAAATAGGGATTTGATAGACTTTCAGTTTTACTGTCCCATTTATACCTGAGACTACTTACTTCGATAAGTTGTTTCAGACAAATGAAATAACAACTTGGCGGAGGCATTCGATTTTATGGGAGATGGTTTTCATGAAAATGAACACAATACATATTCCGTATTTATGAGATCATAGGTGTTTTAAAACTTCAAACTACATCAATGGTGTTTCGCTTCATAATTCTGCGCTTATTGAATTTCTTCACAAATGACCAAAAGTAGGGATAGTACGAATCTGGGAGAAGACGATACATCTGTCATAACTAAGAAAGTAAGCTGGTATATTCTTAAAGCTATCGACTCGGGCATGTGACTAGAAGTTCTTATGACATTCATAATTAAAAAATGTATGTACATACATGTACATACATAGATGTTGAAATTTCAACATCTATGTATTCCAGTAAATAATTCACTGAGCTAAACATATAGAGCGTTGATTAAAATAATGTATAACACACTGGGTTTACAAAGCGGAAAACGGGGTTCCGATATATTTGGTTTTATCTAAATAATAACTTACTCGAGCAGCAGAGAAGGGAAATGATGCGAAGAAGTATTGTGAGAAATTCTACTTTACCCCGAAGACAATTTGAATTCTGGGGAAATGTTTCGGTGAACGGCGGCTCGTAACCCTCATTTAGCCGTATGAACACTATAGTGTTCATACATATAAATATCATGAATCCTACAATTTGTTTTAAATTAAAGAATTTTCCAGTCTTTCAACTTTTAAGAAAACGTGAACAACACCAGTCTTTTGAACCAATTCCCGTTTAGCCGCAAATCCTTCAATATTGTTCATATATGAACGTCCCATATATGGGGTGGGAAAGACATATACGTTCCACATAAATCTTAATTGAATAAGTTTAGACTAAGTATCAGTGTTTAGTTGAATATATTGATCGAATATAGGTACAAGATAAGTTGTTTTCACTGCCGATACTAAACTGACTTCAGATGTAATATACTGTATTTATATTTAAATATGGGATAGGAGTATATATACCTGACCAACAATATGCAAAAGAAGCTCATTGAGTGATGATTAGTGTCGTATTAATGTGTGTTAACCACTGGTAATTTTGTTCCTAAGCTATTAAATCATGGCCCATGCCTGAGAAAAATAATCCAGAGATATTCGCTTTTGAATACACTCAAAACCTTAATACCTGATAAATATTTTTCCTTTTGGTTTCCTTATTTTTGTTTGTGCAGTTAGTGTACTTATTTCCAACGAGGTATTGGTCTATAAGCATGGAATATCAGTCCTGTCTATCAATTCTGTCGTCTATCACGATACTTCATGCGCTTTGTTCTTTGTTACTTATCATAGCTACCGTTTTAAGGCCGAAGTAGGAAGTTCGTAGTTAACTTTTGTTCCCCTGTCATATTCACTTGAAAAAGTTTCTTTGTTAGTCGTGACTGAAGTGACTCACTTAAACTCCATTTAAAAATCGCAAACATGGACTTTAGTTTTCATTTTTATTAGCAATTGACATTTATCTCTTATGTTTTGTATGAGGAAACTTGTAAGTAGCCTAATGTCATGAGTTTATAACACGCAAACTCTCATTCTTTGCATTGAGTCATTGGATGCGGAATATCCGAACGATAAATAGAAGTGGTTTTTAAGAAACTTTTATCAGGTGTCAAGGAAGTGACTACAAAATCTAGCTTATGTAGTTGATATTGTGCTGTCATTGTGAACAGACTGTTAGATGTTGTAAAACTGGTTTGTGAGAAAAACTGCTGCATTCAGAGCACGCTTGTATTATTTATGTGGGCTGTTTTACCGCTAATATTATGCAAAGTGAAAGTTATTGTTGCTTTTGTTTCTGGCTTTGCTTTATTAAACAATTTTCTGGGATTGTGTCATTTCATGGCGTTAATAAACATATATATGCGTGTTTTAAGCTGCATTCAGATAGAGTTGGATCATATAATCACCTTCATTTATTATTTTGAACGTTTTAATACAATTTGTGCAGAAAAAGACCTGTTTCCTGGGAATGTATTCAAGTTAAAGTTTTTGGGTATGCGATACTCGTTGCTTTTTACCAATTAGCATATTCACAACGTGGTGAGGATAAGATAGCACTTAGGATTAGATTCACACCAAAGAACGCAACAGACTAACCGGAAATAACTGTAATATCACAATTTTCCGATAAACGGTGAACCTAAGCTGCGTTGCAGCAGAAAAAAATAATATTGAATTTATCAAACACTGGCTAGAGTGAAAACAAGCATTGTAAAGTTGACCCACTCCCTTGTGAAATAGACCTTTGGATCAAGTGTTGCATGTTTACATTTATCTAAGGTCCCTGCGATGTCTAGAAAAGACCATACAGGTCCAGGCGCTGAACTAAACCCTAGAGCTAAAAGTACTAATATACCGGTTACAAATCACTGGTCATTTATACACGATCAAACTGAAGTGTTCGTTAAAAGTGGGAGATAGCCAACGTGGAAAGCCATGTTTCCACGTTATCAGCATGTTTGTCTGAACTTTAAAGGGTTGTAAACAGATGAACCTGAAGGCAAGTCTCCAAGACAACTACAAGTTTTTCTCGGCTAGTTATATTGAACAAACATAGTAAATTTTAGTCGTTTTCATAAACTTTGGTTGTTAAACTAATTTAAGAGGCATATAAAACTTGAATAACTGATTTTTTGTATTCAGTAGGGTTGATATTTATTCTTAACCTTTCTAATTCTTCATCAAAGCTTTATTTTAGTTTTAACTACGAAGTGTCATGATCGTATCATTATTTTGATATGCTAAGGTTAGTAGCTTACAAAAGAGTTTCAAGTATAATTTACAACTAAAATTGTTAAAAGTCCCGTATAAAATTACTAATTTGACTTCTTTTTTTAAATATTTAGTCAGATATAGGTCAGCATTTTTTACGTGCTGCACGTGCTGGAAATATTCAAAAGGTTTTGATACTCATCAATGAGCACAACGCAGATGTACATGCCTGTAATGCAGTAAGTTCAAGAGGATAGTAAAAAATAAATATTTGTGTATTTTATGTTTTGCTTGTAATTTTCACTATTTTATATATCGATGTATTATGTTTAATTGTGAATTTGTTTGAATTATCGTAGTAATTTAATATTTATCACTGACTAATGAATTATTTTAAATTTTATTCTGCTAATCGGTTGAAGGAAGATGGGAGACCATAAACTCAGATATCTTGGTAGTTTGTACTCGCTAGCAATACGTTACTTTAGTCTTTAAGGAACTAGTTCTACCTGCGGTATTAGAAACCGTATCATCCGGCTTCATAATGTAAGACGTTACCACTGAGTTATTCAAGCCTCAGCTAACCTCCCTTAGGACTGACATGTTGATAAGAATTTGGTCAGTGGTTAACTGTCAGCATCATTTTTGTATGACCATTCTGTGCTATTCAAATTCACATATTAAGTCATTATAAATTCTTGTAGAAATGTGAATATGGAGATCGTCATTGATACTTTTTAAACTTTTAAAGTCATTTTGAAATAATTGTAGAGAATATTCGTATATTTTTAATATTTACTTTAAAAAAGTGAGTTAAAATATATGTTAAGCATATTACAGCACAACAAATCTCTTCACAATACTAGCCAGTAAGTTTGTAGGTTTTAACAAAACTAATGACTACCAAATCAAGGCGTAGCATCAGTCTTCAAAGTTACTGATTGTTGATTTGAGCTGTGTTAGAAAGTACAAACTTATTGATATAAGGTTTAAGCGATAATTATAATCGATGATTGGAGGGATCTTGGTGAAATAACTCAAAATGGTTTACACTGACTTGGACGTGAATATAAAAACAGCCAAATAAACTCATACGAAAAGTACTTAGGTATGATCCATACTTTATAAATAAGGACTGAAAATAGTGCCAGGTTTCCCGAACCGCAGCATGTGGCGTGGGACTCTCGCCAACAAATCGCTGTACAAACGCTTTTGTTACTTATCTGCATTAAGATCTTAAGTCTTAGAACTGTTGCTTACATCTTTATTTTTCAGTCCAATTCTTCCTCTTCGAACCGCATTCCTTACTTTTAGTTACTTCTGGTATTATTGAAATAATTCTTAATTATTTGTTCTCAATACCTCTTCTTGATTTCCACTCTTTTTACAAGACCATGTAGAAAATTCAGGGCTATATATATATATATATATATATATATATATATATATATATATATATATATATCAAATTGTTATTGTTTATGACTAACCCAACTAACTTATGCTTGTCAATAAAAAGTAATACTCGGTATTCAATTCCTCAGAATGGTTATCCGATTGTTTTTTAATTAATTTTGTTTATTTGTGATTTGTTTAATTATTGTTGGTTATCAATTGCAAACATATGTATGCATATTATTTGCTTCAAGTAAATGATCACCTTTTTATTAAAATTACTAACCTACTTAAGTTATATGGTCTTTGAAAACCAGAAATACTAGACAGCTGTTTCGGCTTAGTATGGGACTCTTTAGCACTGTTCGTCTAAGACTCTCCAAGGGATCGGATTCCATGACAAGCGCTCAACTTTAAAACCATTAAGCTGATATCTAGTGGTTTAAATTTTTGATCTCAATGGATTTGTAATGCTGCTCAATTAAAATATGTCGATTTTTAATCTTAGCGGTATTCAATAACTGCTATCAACTCTAATTCTGACAATTATATAGCCCTTTTTGAAGGTATGATCAAGTGCGAAATATATTTTATTAATTTAGTTCAGTACATGCAATGTAAGTATGTTCTTGTCACATACTGTAAACCTTAAGATGATGTAATTTTATTATTCAAATCAGTGTAGTAGTTATATCGTTCCAGTGATCTTACAATTGAATGTGTAAGTCTTTCTCAGGTTTGAGTTCAATATTGGGGGATTATAGACTCATTTTATTAGTTAATACATATTAGTTTGATGTATCTGTTTTTATCCAACTATCTCTCCGTCCTTCGTCTAGCCAAACTGACACCACTCATTCCGTTATCGTTAGTTCTAAGATTTTATCCAAGTAACAAATAGTCCCCTGTGGAAAATAACGATTGATTAAGTAATTTATTATAACTAATTTTAATTCCTAAATAGATTGACATCTGTCTAAACCAAGGAGGAACTATGGTTTAGATTAGTAGGTGTACCATTGGAAATTAAAATTAGTTTCAAAACTTATTCGCCTCCAATAGACATCAAAAACCTTATTTGTAATTTTTATTTAAACATTGGAAATAAGAAATTCAACGAAGGGATCTTTTTTTAACGAATTCGTTATCCAGCTATATATATATTAAGTAGTATTAATAGTTTTAGATTAAAATTCAATATATTCAACCTGTATTACATTCCTAGTTTAATCAAAGTCAACCAATAATATTAGAAGAATGAAGTAGTAATTTCCTAATGAATAAATCTTTTTGTTTATATCTTTACCTAAACTTCACATTCAATTTAAAAGTGAAGGAAAGTTGAGAATGTTCATTTATTATGTTCATATTATTACTTGCAAAACATAGTTTGAATTCTTTTAAAAACAATTAATTAGTCAATTAGAATAAAACAAATAAACAAAAATAATCATCTCAAATTATTATCACTTAAGTAACAATGAAAAAAAAGCAACAAATAAATGGTACTTCATTCTTTGTACACTTCTCTACTTAGTTAATAAACAAATGCTGAAATGTATTTATTTACACATGTTCTAGTTTGTGTTTTCATCTATTGAATGTTTATTTGTTTTATTATTTCATGTTGTAATTTATACGTTCAATGATTATAATCTATACATATCTAATTAATATGACATAAATGTTTGTTTATTTATCTCATATTTCATTTAATATTCCCCTTCTAAAAGTATACTGAGATAAATATTTATAATTTGATGTAGTGAACTTGGTAATATATATATTATTAGTATGACTGTTTGTTATGTTCATTGAATGATCTACTATTTGTTGCTTGTTCAACAGAATAAAACCAATATGATTCGATTTAAAAAGGAATGAATGACTAAAGATGAAGATTCTTTTTGACGTAGCAATCACCGATTCAGAAATTTTATTAAAATCACAATGTTACTTATGATGTATGTAACAGGTACTTGAAGAAGATTTGTAGCTTCGATAAATACATTCAGTGTTGTTGAGTTGTGTCAGAGAAATTGTGCAATAGCAAAGTTTTCACTGTAGTCCTGGGCATCATCAGCGCTTACTTTGTGTGAAAGCGCTGATGATAGTATCCAGAACGTTAATGAAAGAATTTTAGTAAAATTATCTTACATAGAGAAAACAATAACATCAAAAAATAGAATTATTTGTGCTTTATTTTACATTTTACACTAACAGAGCTAAATCAAGGAAAGTGATTAATTTTTATGCAAATCTTAATCCTTACTAAAGTTCTTTTCAATAGTAAATTAATTTCATTCGATTCAATAATTTGTTATTTTGCGATTTTATTTCCTCTAATGAAGAAAATTCTCTTCTATTGTATAAACCATTTTCATTTTTTTCGTTTTGTTTAGAATGGGTTGAATGCGCTTCATTTAGCTTCAAAAGAAGGTCATGCAGAAGTTGTACGTGAATTAATTGAACGTGGCGCAAAACCGAATACTGCTACAAAAAAAGGGAATACAGCTTTACATATTGCAAGTTTAGCTGGTCAATTCGAAGTGGTTAAATTATTACTAGAGGCTGGAGCTGAAGTGAATATTCAAGCTCAGGTTGGTTTATAACACTGTCTTTTTGTTGTTGTTATGCTAATAGTTAGTGTCATTCTGTAGTTTACACCATGAATTGGCCTCAATAAAACAACTATTTGAGACTAGAAGGGGCTGAACAGCTGTTTTGTCCTAGCACGTAACTCTTCAGTAATGGACATACATGATACTACATGGAATTGAACCCAGAACTATCAAGTTTCTATGGTTAGTGCTAAGCATGTAGAAAATTGAATTGGCATTCAAAGATTTATACTTATAAACACAATCAATTCACAATATCGCTTAACCATTGTTTAATTCTATTGGTTGGTAACTGCCACCATAAATCACTCTTTTATTATTTATGAGAAATTTTGGTTTTAGTGTAGTTCATAATTGATAGCTTTTTTTCTCTCTAGGAAATTTACGTTGAGCTGATTTAGTAGAAACTCTTAAATTTCAAGTAGCGTTTTTATTGCGAAACGATATCAACAGGAAAATGATTTAAAGACAATTTAGACTTAATACTTGTGTCATTATCATAACATACCATTCAGGAGTGCGCCGCCTACAAGTCAACATTATAGTGAAGCTATAACATCCATACTACTGATCTCAACCGCTCAACTCTGTAGTCGTATATCAACCACCCAATATCATTGGTTGACTCAAACAATCACTGGCAACATATTAGAACTTAGTAAAATTCATCACAAATGTAGTTTCTAGAGATCATTTGACTACTAGTTCAACTAATTAATTACTTTCATACACAGTTACCAATTTCAACTCATTGATCTTCATGATATGCGTACATACTTGCATGCGTGTATATATATATATATATATATATATATATATATATATATATATGAACGTTGTTGTTATGATCTCTTTTCTTCTAAATCGATGGGTGTCATCTATGCATTTCTTTTATTCTTTCTACTTTAAGCACTCCATTTTGAATACACTTACACAGTTATACATACATACATGCTATATACATACATACAACATGGATACTCAATTACTTATTGGATTGACAATATAATAATATTATTTTTGGAAAAATTTATCATAAATGTGAAGTTGACTGTCTGACGGTGTGACAACACAGACAGTTGGTCAGTTTATTAATTAGCTTACTGCCGAGGAGTCCCACAATAGGACGAAACGGCCGTTCAGTGCTTCCAGGTTTTCAATGGTAGTCTAACATCAATTGGTTCATGATCTCAATCAAAGATTAGCTTACTATTTAGTTATGGAAGATTATTTTTTACATTGACTTAATAAGTAAATTAATTTTATTGATTAATAATGAATAAAGCATAATACATACCCTAAGAAGAAATACAAAGTACTGTGTGTATGTGTTTGGCAGAAAGAAGAGACAAAAATTTACTGTCAAAATAAGTAACTAGTATGATGCACACAGTTGTAAATTGACAACAGTTGAATTTTTCATTTCACTATCTCTCCAGTTTCTATTTCTACTCTTCTCTTTCCTTATCACTAAAAATATACAGATTAGTTATCAGTAATAGAAAAAAATAAATGTAGCCGTAACATAATAACATAAAAAAATATAAGTTTGCTACCAACTGTTAAAGTATCTATTCAAGAAAGACATTTTCACTAACTAATGTAAAACATGACGGATTTTTTCTTCGACAAGTTTATACCTGAATAGTTAGAATGTATATAAGAGCATAAATATGTGCGTATGTATGTATGTATGTATGTATGTGTGTGTGTGGTCTTAAACTCTTAGAGCTGGTTTACTTAAGCGATATTAATTCTGTTTGAATTATTATTAATATGAGGTAGTTGATTGTTGTGTTTAATTAAATGATAATTTTGTTCTAATTGAATATTGTGTTACTCTCTTTAAAATGATTGATTTGCTTAAAGAGATTTTGTTTTTCTGTCATTTTCAGGTAACATTAGTAGGATTAACTTTAAAAGTATTTCTTCCCAAAACTTTCTTGAAGAAAGTTTAATTCTACTTTTTCTCATGAAGATGCTGAATACGTTTGATTGTCTCAAATACTATTTTGTTATCAGTAACATAGAACTTTGTTAACTGTAAACTACTTGTTAACTTGCGTTATAAAACTGACGACCAGTTAATACGACTGCTCACGCTACTACCATTTATAACAATAATGATAAATATGATGATAGTAATAATACTACATTTATTTATCTAAATACATAAACATTGGTACAAGGAGGCGCCACACTTCGTCATTCGATTTGTATGAGGGCTTGAATACTACCCAGGTGACCAAACCGAAGCAAGTGGTTTTCTTAGGGGGTCACACGCCGAGCCTTTGACCTACAGGTCAAATACACAAGGCAGTGGAGCTGCGTTAGGAGATGCAGTCCAATGGTAGCTGTTGACCAAAAATAGGTTTATATGCTATTTGTTCTTTTAGAATCCTGGAGCTCATGCACACCATTGGTTTGGAATTAGGGTTTTCCAACTCCCCTGCGTGAATTCTCCGCGTCCACTAACCTGGTTAAAACGCCGGACGTCTGCTTCTCGTCCTCTCGAGTTCGTAAACAATACCCTCACCACATGAAGGTAGTGAGTAGGGCTTCTGTGGTAGTGGCTGTATACGCGTGGCCATGTGAGAGCATTTGGAGAGGGAGACCTGGCTCTCCACACCCTTGGTTTTATCAAGGAAACTACTACTGTTACTAATTCTTTTACTCTAGTGTTTGTATTAGTACTATCATCTCATCACTGTCGTATCGTGTAGCGACTCACTTTGTTAAATTGTAACACTTTAAGACCCTTTATATTAGTTTAGTGAAGTTAGTGTTTTTTAAGTATGTCTATTCGTTTCGATTCGTTTTAGAAGTATCAGGTATCTATAAATCTTTTTTACTAGCATTTTTACAGTTTCTTCAGTTCATAGTTACAGTTGGTCATTATTGGTCAGAGGTACCGATTTATTCTACTACTCTAATTGCTAATCACTGTCGATGAGCGGGGTAGTAGTCGCACCACTCATTTTTTTCAGTTCGTTGTTTCTTTATCTTATGAACACTTGTTTTATTACCATTTCGTCGTTTGCTTTTTTTAAGATTAAAATTAGTTCTTACAAAGCCTTTAGAAGTAAACAGTTACACCTAAGAAAAATTATGAGAATAGGGTACTGCAATATTTATAACTGTTTTAGCTTTTAAGAATATCTGTCAAATAGTCTTGTAGCATAGTTTTTATTATCTGTCTTTTTTTGTGTTGATTAACCGCTATGATAGACGAATAGAAGTGGCACATTATATGCAGTCAAATATTAAATGTAATCTAATTTATTTCAGAAACGTACAACTATTCATAATTTTGCATAGTTAGAGGAGTTAAGAAGACTTTTTCACTTTGAAAGCACTTCTTATCATTTATTAACCCCTGAAAACCCGAAAGTAAAAGACGAAAATTTCGTCCTATTTTAAGACTCTTCAGTATTAAGTACTCTTAATTTCACAGAGTATAGGAATTGTAACATTTAAGGACATCCACGGTAAGCATGAAACTGTTCATCCATTCAGTCAGTCCATGATCGGGTTAGACGACGACCATTATTCAAGTTCATTGCTATAAGCTAACTCACTGCCGATTTGGTTGACTTTAAAAACCACTATTTCCCAGTAGAACCCAGATTTAGTCACCAGAAAACATATGCTTTTTTCATTAGAAAGTTCCAACTTTCGATTTCTCATTTATTTGTTTATTATTCTGTAGTCGAACCTGTGATTTCAAGGAATATTTTTTCTTAGATCTATTTTGATTAGTAGCTTACTGTTTATAAATAAAGTTCCTTCATAGAGATATTACTAACATCTCTTTATTTTTGTTACGTTTTGTTTTTATTTAAAACCTTAAGAGATTAATGCTGTAGTAAAATTTAGTTTTTATTGTCTGTGATGAATCTTTCCAGGTTATTTTCATTGTTCTGAACTTCTTTACAAAGTCCTATTATATATATATATATATATATATATATATTTCTGTGAACACAGTGGTTTGAAGGAATGTGAATTACTTTATCTCCCATAACATTAACGCAACAGCTGTGAAGGACGTTCGATAGATAAAAAAAACCATAATCTATATCCCTCTAAATTGATGGAGATAAAATAACTAATCTGAAGGATTAAATACTTCACTAACCCAGTTTTACCTTGTCTTCAATCATAATCTTGTGTATAAATGTCAATAGTTATTAAGGTATGATAGTTTAAATAGTTTAATGAACGACTCGGTAGTTCAGTAAAAATGTGTATCCAACCAAGTCATTACGATTTACATTAGCCCAATAAAAGGTGTTTAACAAGTTGCGATGCGGATGAAATGAAATTATATCGTTACTCGATTGAAGTAGTAGATGTGAACGACTGAATGCCAACCTACTTGTTTGAAACTTGTACGTTCATCACGAAACTTGACGATCTCAAGTTTGATTCTTGATTAGTTTATAGATGTTCATTGTTGGAAAATTCAATACTATGTTGAAACAAATATCCATTATCTTCGGGTTTTCAATACCTGTCTATAGCCAAGGTTAGTCCGCGAAGTAAATCAAAGGTATACTGATCATCACAAATATTTTAAACAATTAATATTAGATTTCTCTTGTTTCGCAAGTTATTTTATCAAGTTAATTTCTTTATTACTAATCTGTTCTTTTTATCCCATTGATGTCTATGTATCTTGGCAACTGGAATAGCTCGATTATTGCATTAGTTATTTAAATTTGGTTATGTTTTGATCATCGATTTCTTCACTACTGTTCCTCCACTCAAGGATTCACATGAATCTTAAGTAGTGAGAGATAACTAAATGGTTGAAGCATCCACCTTTTAACTATTGATTTATAAGTGATAATTTTGAGTTCCACTCTGCGTACCCTAGTTTAAATAACTGGGTAATACAGCCTTTGCTCATCAGTGGTTGAAGATATTGGGTAACATGACACATCACAGTGGCTCAGCTGCGTTCACTCTTTACTTTCCTCAAATTCATGAGCTACAACATTATTTCATGCATTTTATGCCTAGCATTCACCCATTCTTTTCGAAGAGCATTTTTCATTATTGATTATTTCTCAATATCATTGATTCTATTATTATTTTGACTCATTTTTGGCACTGTTTATATTAATTCTATTTCATTGTGCTGATATGGTAATGGGAATTTTGACTAACCTTCGTTTATACCAGATTATATTAACTACGAATGAATGAATGATTAGCTTTCAAAACAAACTTTCACCATAAAGCCAAATAAACAAACTTATATTTTCAAACTATTTTATTTAAATTTACAATGATTTTATTTCATAGTTTATCAATTTATTCATTGTTTTACGTTTTATTCTCAGAATGGTTTCACTCCATTGTATATGGCTGCTCAAGAAAATCATTTGGAAGTTGTACGTCTACTATTAGCCAATGGTGCCAATCCTGGTTTAACTACAGATGATGGTTTTACACCACTTGCTGTAGCTTTACAACAAGGTCATGATCGTGTAGTTGCTTTATTATTAGAAAGTGATTCTCGTGGTAAAATCTGTTTACCAGCTTTACATATTGCATCTAAAAAGGATGATATTAAAGCTGCCAATTTGTTATTAAATAGTGATGTCAATGTAGATCATCAATCAGCTGTAAGTTTTGTGTTTAAAGTGATAATTTATTTCATTTTTCATACTGTTATTCATAATGGTATAGTATTTGATTAATTATGTATTATATCCAACCTGGCACATAAGTGCATCAATTCATGTTATTACAGAATATCAGCACAACGAGATGAAATTATCAAAACATTTGCCGGATTAGAAGAAGTAGTAACATTACGAGTAGTAGTACTGGTAGAAAAGATCATACATAGCCAACATGATTTACAAGGAAAGGATGAAAAGTGTTTTTCTACAAACAGTAAATAAATCTATGTTATTGTCATCTGTTCTAAACTATTTCATTTAGCACCCTCAACCTTCGGTTATGATAATGTGCTTACAACTTCGTTCAGTAGTTAATGACTTCGTGGACTAATCCAACTTCTTAGTCTAACTGTCCCTAAATTTCTTTCAATCTACCCCCTACCCTAGTAAATATATGTTGTTGAAGTTGGCCGCGGTTTGACATTTCGATTTCAATTATGTTAAACTGCTATAATTAATTACTGTTAAACATATAACTAAATTTTTTAAAAAACAAATAGACGGCTTCTTGTTATACAAATTTGAAAATTTATATTTTCATTAATTGTCATTTTCCCCTTTAATTATTATTGTAATTGTAAAGTTGATATGCTATTTTACCTAGTTGAGAAGAGTAGATAGGGATGCGGTGTAAAATAATACATTGCCGAATGAAAAATGAAACTGTGAATAGTTTTTGTTGCAAAACATTAAAAGAAAATCATAGACAAATAAAGAGGTATTTTATCCTACTATGGAATTTTTTCAACAGTCCATTTTCATCACCCAGACTCGGTGGTCAGGGAGTTAAGCGTTCACGCGCGAGACTGAAGGCCATGGGTTCTAATCCCGCTAGCGGGATCGTAAATGCGCACAGCTGAGGAGTCCCATAATAGGAAGAAACGGCCGTCCAGTGCCTCCAGGTTTTCAATGATGGTCTAACATCAATCGGTTCATGACCTCAACCAAAACAACAAGTCGAAATCCAATGGTATACACTACCTAGGTTCGATTCCGTATGAGATTGTAGGTGACAAACTACTGCAAAGAATGTGTTAAGTGTTGCATGTTTTTCAAAAGTTTTCTAGCTTATGTAAATTAGAAGAGAGATCTATTTCCATGTTTAAAAAGTCTTCACAAACTAAGCAATTAAATGAAAGATAGTTCTCTGAGATTATGATTGGTTAGTTCATAATGGCTTCTTCAGTTATTACATGACTGGTTGTCAAAACGATTATTTAATTGACTTTGTAGATAACATTCACTTTATATATGTCCGAGTAGTAGTAGTAAGTATGAGAAGAATCATCAGGGTGAAATGGTATAACATTGAACAGTAGCACTGATGTTTTAAAATGTTTACTGGCTACAATTTTCTTGTTTTGTTGAGTGAAGTAGTTGACCGCATTGAATGACTTACTACTTCTCTTGCAAGTCTTTTCAGCTGTGGTAGGTTAGTGTTATGAAGCTTGGATTTTCTTCGTCTTTATGAATAGGACGTTAATTTGCTTCAGACGAATATCTACACTAGATTCCTTTCCAGTGTCTATTCTACCGGATTTCAACACAACTCAGATCAAAAACACATGATTAACCTGACTAGAATATAAATATATTTCCACACCAAAAACCGACAACAATCCAACACAATCAGAATAATAATAAGGATAGGAGAATATGTAACTCATCTAGTACCTGTCAGACTATCTACAAATCTGACTAAGCAAGCAAACAATCATTATCATACTCGCCCACACATCAGTTAGTGTCCAATAAAAGCTTCACATAAATTCAGAATGCTCAACTGGCTTTAATCAATCTGGGTTATTTGTAGCTGAGATACATTTCTGCCAACCGAAGTCAGTAAACTGCTCAGCAGTTCATTCAGTATTACTTTATGGGTGTGAAACCTGGAGTTTGAAAGTAGAAGATATTTATAGGTTTTTAGTATTTAATCATACGTTGGTGCTTTCGAACCTCCCTCTGACTGACTCATCCTAGTATGGGACTCTTCAGAAGTGCGCATCCACGATCCCGCACACGGGATCCAAACCCAGGACCTTCGGTCTCGCGCGGGAACTCTCAACCTCTAGACCACTGATCTGGCGCCCAACGGTGTTAATGTCTAACTTCAACCAATCTACGGGATTGTGTGACTATCTTTCATTATCTTCGATGGGTAGCTGCTATCCAGTGCTTCCAAGTTTTCACTGGTGGTCTGACATTGATCGGTTTATGATTTCAATTAAAAATCACCACAAATTACTTATGAATTTTTAGAAAATTTTCTTAATTTTTTCTTCGTTTATGTCTGTTTTGTTTTAGAGTGGATTCACTCCACTTCACATCGCTGCACATTATGGTAATGTGAATATGACTGAATTATTGATATCACGTGGTGCTAATATTAATTTTCAAGCTAAAGTAAGTAACAAGAAAATCATTTAGGATTATCTTTTCAATACTTCCAAAATTTAATAATGATCATAAATATAAATAAATATGTATTCATTTATTATTGACAATTTTTACAGAGCTTTAATTGAAAATTAATTAGTTTAAACAATGAAACTACAAAGCTTCATGTAGAGTTTACAATTGACTGTTTATTCGGAAAGTGAACTATGTTATATTTTTCTATTCCTTTTAGTGCTGATTGAACTCTATTGGTTAATTTTAAGTGACTAGTTATTGGTTGGACTATGTTTAGTTGTTAAGCTGTCTATAGGAAACCTTACTTGACCTCGATTTTGTACTAGTTAGCTATTATTGGCAGGGTGTACCTCAAATGTTGGTGGAATAGATGCCTTCTGGTGAATTTGAACGCTCATAATTCTCTGCCCAAACAGTTATGTGGCAGAGTTTCAGACCATATAGCTATGCAACGTGGATTGGAGTCCAATAGTGACTATCATTTCCCTCAAGCTTCTGAGTACGCTTTGCCAGTAAGTGCTAACTAGCAAGAGACCTATGTAAGGCAATTTTCATTGTCGATTACCTCCAACCACCTGTCATCTTAATTATGAGTCATAAATTCTAGTTCGAACCACTTCCATATATGCTATGAGAGTATAATCTATTGTTTATACCGTGATATTTTTTTCTCGGGGTTTTTATCATATCTATTAATCTATCAAGGGTTTATTAGTTGACAAATTCTATCAAATCATACTTCTGTATTTATTATTTATTATTCAAATATTTCAGCGTATTCAATTTCGTAAACACTGACTTACATCTCATACATTATGTTGAATAATAATTAAATAGAAAAATATAATCACATAGGTTCGGTGGTTGTATGATCTCATGAGTGAGTATTGGTAGACATGATTTCTAAGTTATATATCGTTTGATGGTTTCAACAGATCTCAATCCAATGTTGATTCGTCATGAGAAATAAGGTTCATTATCGTTTACAGTTTGGTTAAAGGAGTTTTATAAATTCTTGTATAATTTTGAGATTGTATTCGTCACAAACTGATTTCAGAGATGTCGAAAGTGAAATAATTGTTACCAGTCATATTGAATGGTCGCTTCAATATAACACAAACTAATTGAAGTCGGAATTGTCCTATTTGACAGGAATCTAGTGATTTTGTTGGTTAATTTCTTAGTAATAACCTTGAAAATCTTGGATACTATCCCTGGTCGAGTAGTTGGTACTCAACGATATACAGTTCCATGCTAGAACTAAAAAGTTGTCCATTCACTTCTGGCTCTCATTGGCATCTCAATTAAAACCTGATACATCCTTCCTTTCAATTTTTACAATATGTTCATTGTTATAATTTTTATAAATTTCAATGAATTACTTCTTTAAAACTGATTCATAAAAGGTTATCAATAATAATAATAATAATAGTTAACTAATAAGCTTTTATTAGGAATCACAAGATGTTAAAATTATGATTAAGCATTTCATTTAAATTGAATCACAACAGAATTCCAACTTATCTTTATTGTCATTTCGCCTATAAGATATGATGAATAATTGAACTGTTTACTTTTGCTGTATATACGAATGTAGAAAGGCACCGACTTTTGTGAAATAAATACATTTTGAAGTTATTATTTCTGTTACTATTAAGTTGTTTTCAAACATTTAATTCCTATGAGATTGATTTGCGTAAATTATGTTGAAATGCTTTGTAAAGTTTTTATTTTTATTTTTACCTTCACTCACACACATACACAAACACATTATGTATGTTTTTCTTAATACAGAACAATATAACTCCATTGCATGTAGCATCTAAATGGGGTAATCAAGGTGTAGCTGAACGTTTAATTACAGCTGGTGCGGAACTTGACTGTCGTACACGTGATGGATTGACACCATTACACTGTGCTGCTAGATCTGGACATGATACAGTTGTTCAATTATTATTAAGTGCTGGAGCACATATCTCTGCTAAAACAAGGGTAAGATTTAAAATTATTTTCAATGGTGTATTTATGCAGTTTGTTTTTTTAATTCAAATGTTTGTTGTACAGGATTTCTTTGCAGAAAAAAGAAATCACTTTTAATGTTTTACTCAGTGGTTCCGAAGTTTGTCTTGATTTATTTGGACCAGTCAAGTTCAGTATTTTTAATGATTCTTTGATAAAAAATATATGATTGAATTACTAGTATATGGATGTACATTTGGTTACTTTTTCTAATGTTTTCAAATAACATTCAGATGAAGATTATATTTTTCTTTACATCATCGGATAGCATCAGAAGTTGTTTAATAGATGGTAATTTCTATTGTCGTTAAAATTGAATGGTGTAATTCTAAACACTTTACGAATCTGTCTTATCTGATACTGCTGAGAAGTCTTATACTAGGACGAAACAGCCATCCACTGCTTCCAGGCTTTCAATAGCTTAAATCAACCATTAAAAATTACTACAATCTCTACTAACCCCTATTCTAGTCATAAATAAAATATGCACACAAAAAATATATTGCATCAGTTGATGTATTAGTCCAAAACAATTAAATTTCACCACGATGTATTTATTCAGTAGTTTTCTTCACGGATTGATATAATAAAGACAACTATGAAAAACTAGAAAGTAGTAGAAAATTGATTCGTCCAATTATCGGACTCTTTAGCAGCATGCATTTACAATCCTTTCAAGACTCGAACCTAGGACTATCATATCACCCACTATAGGGATTGAAAGATGGTTTTGCACCATCAAGAGTTGATTGAAGTGAGAAATGTAAAAAAAAATATGTGACCAATCGCTCGTCACGAGACCTAGAGGTCTTGCGTTTAATACTTGATGAAGTCATGGATAGTCATTGACGAGGAGTTCTATGTAGAGGTAAAAAAAAATTGTCCAATACTTCTTCATTTCCATTGGTTGCGTAGTTAATGTCACTTTTGGATGTAAATAGTCAGGAATTCAATTATTAAAGAAAGAATTCTAGATGTTTATGCATTCAACAATACTAGATAATATTGTTTTCATGTACACAATTCAATAACTTTGAAATGATCAAGTGATAGGTACTTTTAGTTTAAGAAACAAAGATCTGTTTATCATAATTTGCAAATGATTTTTTAAGAAACTTTATACAAAATTTACATCATGTTTTTATTCAGACAAATTGTTTATTAAATATTTTAGTAATAAGAATGAAGTTTTACATTTGTTTGTAATAAACAATGTATCTAATCAATAAAGCAGCTTTCAACTGTTTCAATCATGTTATAAATGTGGAATACTGAAATTCTATGTTCATCTGACATGAATTTTTTTTACTGTGGAGAGTGTGATATTGATAGCACTAGCTAATCTTAACAATTTCTACATTTAGTTAGTCATTCGTAAGCAGCTTATTACCTGATACATATGTGAATCGATTCAACTTGATACACTAATTCAATACAGAGAGAAGAAATTGCCAAGAAAAATATCAAAATAGAAGTAGTATCATTATCAATGGCATTACAAAATATTAGGTAAATTCGATATAATTCTAGAAAAATGATTGTTTGCAGAACGACAATTATAAGGACATTTAAAACTCAATATCTAAGGCAAGATGAAGAATGAATGCATCTGTGTTACTGAGATTTATTCTGAACCATGTTATCCAAAGTCTCCAATCATTGGTTACGATATTTTTACAGATCCGAATATGTTAGTCTTCATTTACTAACGTTTTTGAATTCAACAGTTAATGACATTATGGACTGATTTCATCCGCTGGTTTTGCCAGTCCCTACTTTCCTTCACCTTACTGCTATACTGACAAGCATCTCTACTTTGGTACAATTTAAGTTAGCTTATCTGCCAATAAACTTAAATCAAGGATAAATAAATGACGCCAAACTATATGAGTCCGTACATGTTCTCATCATTGCAATTACTGATGAAAGGTTAAAATTTCTGCTATACATGATAGTATACAATGATACAATATTTATGATACAGAACTTGATTTTCTCTTTGGATTTCATTAAATATTCAGTTTAACAAAAAATTATTCTTAATTCAATTAATCTTAAGTTAGATTTATGTAAACAAAATGAAGTTCTATGCCATGTGCCAAAACACATAAATGATGCTGATTAAGTTGTATTATTTTTCGAATTTCATAATTTCCTGATAAAATTTTATTGATTAGTTTTTTTTTTTTACACATGACCATAGTGTGTACATGTGACTGAAAAAAAGGAACTGTATGAACAAATAAAGTTATTAATAGTAGTTCTACATGTAATTATAAGATCTTGATAGTCTCTATATACCATTTGCATAATAATGTAATACAGTGTATAATTGTGTTGGATGCTACTTATGTTGATAGATATAAGTAGTATGTAACACTAATCAGAAGTGGAATATGTGGTAGCAGAAGATTTTTAGAAGATTGAACTAAAGAGAACGGGAATATGAAGAGAGAGAAATCACAGTAGCAACAGGATTGAAGGAACGATGAAGTTTTTAAGGGACAAGTGATGGAAGATATGAAAATGAAGTATTTACTGTCATAGTTTCCATATTTTATGAAGACACTTTGTAATTTTGTATTCAATAATAAATTTATTCTTCCTACCTGAGTGTTCTTTCACTACATAATAACTAAATGATTGTAAAACCATACAATCTATATGGTCAAACTAAGTTACAACGAAAATTCTTATTCGATTTAACATCAACCCATCTGTTCATTATCCTTACTTACGCATATATATATATATATACAGTTATTGGAATGTTTGAATTTCAATAACAATATATATTTGAACTCTTTTTTGTTGTTGATTTATGCCGTAACTTTCATTTAGAGTGGTTTAAATTCATTACATATGGCAGCTCAAGGTGATCATGTAGATACTGCACGTTTACTTTTACAACATGGAGCACAATCTGACGATCCAACAATTGACTATTTAACCGCATTACATGTTGCTGCACATTGTGGTAATGTACGTGTAGCAAAATTATTACTTGAGCGTGGATGTGATGTCAATGCAAGAGCATTGGTAAGTTAACTTTGTATTCAGTTTTCTCCGTTATTCTTTAATTAGTTAAGTCAAAAAAATACATTTGGTGATTTTTTGAAAAATGCAACGTTGTTTAGATTTCTTAATAAGATATACATTTTACTATGATTGTAATTATTATATTCATACTGTATTTGATTTAAATTTCAGGTGTTATCCTCCCAAGTTAATGAGTTAATAAAGTCATATTATTTAGTTTCAAAGATCTCTAGATTTAAACTACATTTCAATATCACATACGTATAAATTAACATAAGCATTGATTTATTTTTATGGAAAGAAGCTGTGTTGACTATTCATTTTTGTATTGTTTGTTTGAATCTTTCCGTTGATGTTTAGGACTGCAATTGATCAGTCTCTTATTGGCATATGTGCATCTTGTGCGAATTGCCTCGATATTGCTTTAAATCAAAAACTTTATAAACAGAGATGGATGGTGGTTGATAGTGGGATCTAGGAAGTGCGTTTTGTTTTATTGAGGATTCGTCGGCTGGATGTACCTGCGTTTGAAGCGAACGGTACGGGGATCAAGTCCCGGAGTGAACGTCAACTATGGGATGCAGGTACATCCCACTGATGGTTCTTAAATAGGCCCATCCTGGATTCCACTGCTAAGCATCATCAATCTTTTCTTGCATTGACAATATTTTGTTATTTTTGTCTCGTATCCAAAAATGGTATTAAGAAATTTCACTCTTTGGACGGTTGATATTTTTAAGTTAACATCATAGACTGATCACAGTTAAACAACCGTTGAAAACTAGGAACCATTGGACAGTTTTTTTGTTTTAGTTCTGGACGATTCAGCAATAAATAACTATTCAATGAGAATCTAGTGCTTTAGTCTATTGAGTCAGCATTAACTTGCTTCCGGAATCGATTCTCGGTAGGATTGTGAATACAGACCGATGATAAGTCTCCTACCAGGATGAGAACATTGTCCAGCGCTTTCTGATTTACAGTGGTTGTATGACTGAGAAAAGCTCATGATGTAAAATACGAAATTCAAAAAATCTTCATAAATTTCCTCTACTTACACCTGTTATTTGTTGAAAGAAGTGTAGGAGTCACGTTACATTAATATAAGAAAATATTTTTTAACGTTTAAATTAATCTATTGTGTATTTAATTATCAGTTGGGATGACAACGAAGGTGCGAATAGATTTGATTAAATAAATAAAAATTAAAAGAGATACTTGATGATTAATCCTTTACTCACTAAAATACATTTAATACTGAGATAATTTTTCCCAATATTTTGTAGGATGACAAAAAACAAAAACATTTACTGTAAACGAATTCTTGGTCAGTTTAGTTGACATAGCATTATTACTTAGTGAATTCATTTTGTAAGTAATAAGATACTACTGAATAATTGAGATAAATTTTGGTTAAAATGTAATTGTTGACCTTAAATAGCTTTATATCATTTGCATTCGTTGATAACAAAACAATGCTTGAATCAGTATGAGTGTCAAAGACAAGTCTGAAACTTGATAGTCCATATCATACTTAGCATAGAAGTAGAAATACAATAACTATCAAAGGAGAACTTCATTGTTGAAAATTCCTCTACTTACAACTTAATAGATCTGAGACTCGAGTATCATCAATAAATATTTAAAGCGTTACTCATATGTAGGGAGTTTACTAAGTAAGTAATGTTCACATTAATTGTATGTTAGCCAATAGATTTTTTACACTTGCAATCATCAAAGTGTTTAGGATAGAATAAGAAAAAAATTTAGCGAAGTAAATTTTCTTTTCGACGAAACCATCTACTTAAGCTGTACATTCGTATATATAGTTATATGGTAAACATATGTCTACAGAAGGTTTGCATCATAAAATGGATTCGAGACTAGATAACAAACTAGGTTACACACTAATCAATGGGTAAGGAAGAAAATAATTTACGGGTCAGATAATTGTCCAGTTGACAGAAAAAACGATAAACATAAAGGTCATGACAATAAAGTGAATAATGATCAAGAATACTTGTATAAGGTAGTAATAATAATAATAATAAGTGATTAGAGTTTAAAATTGCAGAATGATAATTTTAAAAAATTCAATAATAATCAAATAAAAGTGCAGAAAGAAAGAAAAAAAACACACCCAGAAACATACCCATTAAGGGAATTAGGGCCAAGGAAGGATGAGAGGCTGGACGAATCGTTTTTGAACGCAAAGTTTCGGCTTGAGTTCGTTGATTGCCAATTCTTCAGCAGTGCATAAATTATTGATTCGACACCCATTTGATAGATGTTGAATACACCAAGGCATGGTCTGTTCTATATCTCGATTGTGTTTAAATCAAGAGTCTATCAGAATAAACCAGAAAGCTACAATTCGATTTGATGTTAAGCTGTGTGAATAATATGTTGACTTCCTGAGTACTGTTCTTACAATGTTAAAAATCACTTATAAAAGAACCTAAGTTGTTATAATTTAATGGATTATTATTTTTTGCTTTCAATATTCTCCTCCTTTTTCTTCTTTTCCGTTTCCATTTCTTCAACTTTTAATTAACCTATTACTTTATCATTATTTTTGTGATTAATTTTCTTTGTTTCTTACACTGTATTGACAATGATTTCTATCATTATTAGAATCTTAAATCTTTAGTTATGAATTACTTTTATTTATCTATTGAATTGTTTCATTAAAAAGTGAATATGATTTATGTTTATGTAGAATTAGGAAACTGTTGAAATTCTTCTCTCTATTTCTGTGAATAATTAGTTTCATATATAAAATGATTTTATTTTTCGAATTAGTTGTCACTTGAAAATTGAATTTAGTTACTAAGTTCTAATATATATACATATATCTAACTAGGTCAAAACTTCATATGGCCTTTTCTATTTATATCAGTTTTGGCATATTAGTTATGTTGTTAACCATTACTTATTATTATTATTATTATTATTAATAATAATAGTAATATCTCTATATATTTGTATGTATTGTTTTATAATGAAAATAATTCATAAAAATGCACTGAGTTGTTAGTTAGTTCAGTTTGATTGTCTTATTGACATTTGAATAAATGATGCAAAAAATATAGAGACTAAATAAATTAGGATATCAACTTCATATTATGAGATAAGAACAATTGAAACATGAACTTTTCACTAATGGTTTTTGTCAATTAACAATGAAACTATAGTAGTGTATATCTTAATGATTCGTAAAAAAAACTTGTTTACATCTTATTGAAACTGGATATTCTTGAACAGTTTTTTGGTGGAGTTGAGTTCATTGAGTTGGAAGGCTTAATCGTGAAAATTTTATTCTTTCTAAATAACATCTTTAGCATAAAATTTGATTAAATATGTTGTTTAGAGGCCTGATGATTAGACTATCCCACTCCGAGAACTTAGCTCCACCAAAATAATCCTCCTGTGCTACAAATCTTCTGACAGAATGACTGTTCTGTGGCACTCTTCATTCGTGTTAGTTCACAATATAGTCGTTCATTATTAACAATTATATTCTGAGCAAAGACTTCCTTCTGAATCTCTTAAAAATTTTAATTTGAAATTATTGTTTGGGAAGCTCAGTTTACTTACCAGTTTGAAATGGATGCTCAAAAAATCAAAATGAATGAGGATTACGCAATATAATAAAATAATTGAGGTGGGAACATGTAATGGATTATAACTTCAAGCTTATAACTGGGGTGTCTGTCATACTAACTAAGAGTGTGGGAACTCTTGTGTGTGGAAGAGAGGAGGTTTGGTTCCAAACGTGACTGTGAAGGTAAACTTTTGTGAGTTTTAATGTCGCTCGGGTTTTTATGAATCTTTAACTGGTTATTAGTTTGTAACACAACGTAGAACCACCACTGGGAGATATTATTTTAATTTTCAAGTCTTTATACTATTTAAATAAGTATTGATGACAAATGATTTATCAACTTGTTGTATACATTCTACTGAGAACTAGTAATATTGTCGAAATTGAGTTCACAAGTCAATCTAAGCTAAATCTCCATTGCAAACCTGGAAAGACTGAACAGCCGTTTCGTTCTAGCTTGGGACTTCCCAGCAATACACATCCACGATCCTTCATGCGGAATAGAAACGAGGACCTTTGGTCTCGTGTGCAAACGCTTAACCTCTAGACCACTGAGCCAGTATTCAACGGTGCTAATATCTAACTTAAATCGATTCAGTGCTTTCAGGTTTTCATTATTGGCCTAGCTTAGACTGACTCGTGAATTCAGCTATGAAAATACTACAATATGACCATGGATGAATTTAAGATTGCTAATATTGAAATGACTGATATGTATTGTTTACTTAAATCAAATTCAGAGTCCTTTAAATGTGCATGAAATAAGTAGGATATTTTGTAAAAAAAAAACATGTCCCATATCTCCTACTATCATCAACATTATGTCCAATAAGTGGATATTTATCTCAATTATCAGATGACTTGATCCAATTACTGTACATATAGCTTCTTCCGCTCTGTAATTTCATTCAATTCACTTATGATTTTTAATTTCGTATAAATATAAAAATAATTATTAACCTTTTATCCTATATTACTATTTCCTACTTAATTATATCATTCCGTATATTATGTAGGCAGTGATTGAATGATTGGTTTGAATTATGGTTAAATTACTATTTCTTGTGATCCACGTTAGCCATATTTACTTTGATGGTTAATTGAAGAGACTATAATTTATAGACGAACCAATCAGATATAAGAAAATGAGTCATGGATTTTGGCGCGAAATTCATTCATCCATTTGGCTAAATAATGTTTAGACATTTTAGCTAATGTGATCGAAACCCTAAATTGAGTTCCTCACCCTGACCATCAACTGTAAATCATAATTTTAATTCCTCACAATGTTTTGTAGCCCTCATTTAGTTCTAGTTCGTGGGTGGACATTCTCAAGGTCGCTGAAGCATCGCACAAAGATCTTCCGTAAACTATAGTTCCATTGATTAATTTACTA